TTTTTTTTTTTTAGTATCGGGAGTAATACAGATATTATCATATATGTGTATATATATATATATATATATATATATATATATATATATATATATATATATCCAAAGTAAACTTTAAATGTAAACTTTAAATGTAAACATAAAAATCCCAACTAAATATACCAATTAAACTAGTAACTTGAAAAGTCTTCCTCCTGATGTTATGTGCTGTTTTTGTTTTTGTGAAAGTAGAAATGGCTGCAGTTAACATATTTAACTGGACCTAAGATCTTATTTTTTTCTTTGCCAGGTGCGAGTTGTCATCGTTGATGAGAACGACTGCGTTCCAGAATTCCTGCAGTCGATTTACAGCAAAGACGGCGTTCCGGAGACGGTCACAACGGCAACCTCCTTGTTGCAAGGTGAGACTTTCAGAAAGTCCTAAAACCCATAAAACCCATTCTCTCTCCCATCACTGATTGCTCTCCTTGTTTCAGTTCTCTGCACATTTAACACAGCATATGTGCAGCTCTTGTACATATGTCCTGCTGCATTTTTTCCTCTCACAATAAAGTTGTTGGTGCCTTAAGGAACAAGTATATGAAGTGCAAATATCTGTTCAGATCTAAACTTTAATCTGATGCTAATCCGTGGGAGATAGTGGTTCTGGGAATTTATTTACATTTCTTTCTACAGGGCATGAAAGTGTTAGGGAATGTGTCTAAATGTTGTCAAAATTGTTTGTTAGTGTATAAACGATGCCTGGACTAAACACTGTCAAAAAGTGAAAGACTAGTTGACATCTAAAATAGAGTCTTACAAATTTAACAGACACTTATATTTAGGTGGGCTTGGAATAAATAATTGAGTGGTGCCAGAGTTGGGGATTAAACCTGTCATCTCTGAATTAAAAATGCCACTAGCTATTCAGCTTGAAGAGCAAAAAGTTTAGCATTAAAGTGTAAAATAAAGAGCAGGCGTCTGACAACAGAATATCCGCATTATGAAAACATTATTTCTTGTTTCTCCTTTTCCCATGGAAATATTCCTGACAAATGTGAGGCCCGTGGCAGACAGGTTATATTCTGAAGTAGGAAGGATGTTTTCTGTGCAGAGTCTGAGAATGTTTCTGTCTGTGGCTCTGCCAATATTCTGCTGGATCTGTTCAACTGCGGTCTTAGATCTTTGTGGGTATAGTTGCTAAAAACAAAATCCAGGGTAATTTGTCTTGCAGTAGAACCATTTTTAAGGTCTTAAGGATAGAGCGATTATCATAAATCTAACCTGTAAGACCTAGAAATGTGCCACTTAAAACAGATGAAGGTAAATGTCATGATAACGAGTTTTGCTGAAAATATATTGTCCCAGAAATTATTGTGATACACATTAATATTGTTGTTTTGAATCTATCTTCAACTGGCATAATAATGCAAGCACACCCTCTCAAAAATCAATAACCTTTAAGTTTCAAATAACATTTAACATGGAATTGGGAGACATTTTAAATATCCATAACAAATAAACCAAAAAAAAAAAACAAACAAACAAAAACAACAACATTTAACTGTAAATAAAATGATTTATGAAGTCTCTAAACTAAATTGCCCTTCAAAACATATAAATCATAGGCTCAGACTGGGTAAACAGGAACAATGTGAATGTGCTGCTGTGCTGAAAAACCTGTTGGGACTTTTGGGAGAAACAAAAACATTTGCAGCATCTTTCAATTACATTAGAAGGCATCATCACTTAAAAAATTAAGCAAACTACACAAACATGCAAATGGGAATTATTGTGCTCATTTTAATTGATCATGCAGTTAATTGATTTATTTGGTATTGTGACAGGCTTAGTTACTGTGCGAGAACTTAAAGTTCCAACTTGTATTTGGGATCAATCCAGGTAAGATTACATTTGTGGATCTGGACTTTTGTCCAATGTTTGGACATGGATGCTTTTGTTACTTGGTGTTATGACATGTCATACTTTGTGATATTATACAACTTAAAATGGACTTTAAAAAAAAACCTCTTAGTTTTATGGAACAATATTTTGTTGTTGGTAGATAGTAAATAAATGACGATATATGGGTGCAGTTACATAGGCTAAATAGGGGCTAAAATCAAACAAATATTTGGGTTTACATCATGGTTTCATATAAACCTAATGAGTCACATCCTGTGTTTTTATTAAAATTCATAGCACAGGAGTGTTTAATATTAAGTGGAATGATGGGTTGTGAATATTCTGAGCAGTTTGATCTGTTAGTTAATATTAAAAAACAAAAACAACAAAAAATGCTGCTATTGTGTTATAATAATATTTTGTTGTAGTTTATCCAAACTAGAGGAAATGAAGATCTGATTAACAGTTAAATTGGAATTTCTGATTTTGATGAAGTTTTGGCAAGTGACACTTCACCATGCACTCTAGTTCTGAATACTGGATGTTCACTGGGATCACTGTTTTTTTGTTTTTTTACCTAACACCTCAGTGAATTATTTTCTTTCTGCTTTGTGAGTGGTTTGTAGAGAATTATTAGTCAAATTAACCAAAAAGTATTACAGTGTCAACATTATGTTCAGTTTCAAGCATCTACCATGTCAAGGTGAGCGTGTTTTTGTCAATGCATAGTGGGTGACTAAGCAATGTTATTACTGGCTCGGTGCTGGGTTTTTGTGTGGCAGTGGCATTGACTACATGCTACAATGCTGCAAATAAAGAAGTCTGATCTATGTAGAAAAGGGAGCTGGAAATCATTGCACATCTAAACATAAATCTGCGCAACATCCTAAATGCTGATTGTTTCCTACTGCCATCATCTTGATTTTTTTTGTCTGTTTGTCTCTCCTCAGCATAATAAACGGAATATTGGTCGCTCGGACTTCAAAAAGCATCTTGCTTTATTTATCTGAGTTTAGCAAATGGATGTACCAAATACTGCTTCAGTAAAAAATAAAAAAAATTCCTGAATGTTTGTGGTCCTACTTACTATGACCTTCAATTAACGTGAAAAACATGGTTGATAAAAGACGAGTCCTTTGTGTTGTACCTTCCACTTTTAAACTGTGTCTGTTTTGAAAGGCTTTGACAATTTCTTTGCAAGATTATTTTCCTTTAGAAATGTTTTCAAACTCCAACTTTGAGCTGGAAAACCAACTTTATGCAATTTTTTTATTTTTATTTTTTTGTAGTCAAGGTTCAAAGAAAAACATTTTGTGGCCCTCAAGCAGCCGCTGGGCCACCCTTTGGACACCCTTCCCCAAGGGGTCACAAAGGGCATATAGAGACCAAAAATCTGGGCTGTAAAGGCTGATTGTTGCGTAACAGTTCTGAATAAAATCTTTAGTCAAAGACGATTCAATTGCAAACTGTCTTTGAATAAGCTAATACTATTCACTACATGCTGCAGTGGTCAAGCAGTGGCATTTTCTGACATGTCTAAAAAAATATGGCTAAAACTGATGAAAGTAATCAAGATATTCTTATCTACTTTTACAAAAATTGCAGCATTTTTGTTTCTTTTTTGTTGTTGTCGTTGTTGTCTACCAAACATTTCCCTTTCACCTGGACACCTTAAAAACATACACATTTTTTTAAAATTAAATGTGTGTTTAATTTAACACACATTTCTCTAATTAACACACATTTTCTCTAACACACATTATTCATTTCTCTAATAATGAAAGCGTAGCTGAATGACAACATGGTGAATGAAGAATAATTAATGACAATAAAACAAGTTTCTACAGCGTATGGATGACTGTAATGACTGTTTGGGTCCCTCACTGCAAATGCTCATTATACTTGACTACAGGCTGAAACTCTGAGTGTTCGACTCATGTCAGCTGTTTTTACATCTGCCTTGCTCAAAGGTATTATCATCACCCTCTTCACCGTCATCATCATCATCATTCTTTAACCGGGCCATTACATAAAAGTAAGGCCGTTTGGGTGAGTTTGCAGTGGTTTTGTTGGTTTGTTTTCTTGACATTTAATCCTTCTATTTAAAATATCTGATAGTTTTCTCTAAAATTGTGTTTTTCTCATGCTGTGTTGTCGTCAAGGGATTTTAGGAGTGGATAACAGCAAAACAATAATTGCTGAAATCTGAATAAAACTCAGGGCTGTGCTTTTGATATTGCGTAAATAAACCCTTTTTTATTCCACTTCACTAACTTCCAGCAAAAGGCTATATTTGTCCCCAGTTGAGTGCAGTGAGTTAATAAACTCAACTACTTCAAAGAAGGCTCTGGTCCAGAACTTCTTAAGATTTAAAGGTGAAATGTTGTTAGTTTGTAGGATCTGCATGTATAAAATAATCCTTAGGTGTAACATAATGGTGTGTGAGTGAGGGAGTAAATTGGTGGATGGGGTTGTGAGATGTGTGATGTAGGAGGCGCAGTTTGGTGCCGTCAACAGGTGCACCAAGGAGGAGAGAGATTCCCCCCCTCCTGTGCTCCTGTGTGCACACACGTGAATACTGGTTTGGGAAAGGATGATGTGCAAACAGGAAGAAAGCAAATGTGAAAACAGTATTGTTAGACTTTAATTGTTGAAATAAGTACATTTGAAATAATTTTTTGCAGTTTAAAGGTTTTAATATTTTAAGAAAATCTCCATTTAATACAATTAGATTTGTTCTATTCTGATTCTACATCTAAAACTGAACAGCCCAACACTGAGCAGCCTCAGCAACCTCAATCCAGTGGACCCTCACATGTTTGTGGATTTATGGATATTTCTGGGTAACATGACCCCAAATTATTCACAGAAAATCAGTTTGTGGGTTTTTGACTGGAACGTATCTAAAACATGAGAAAAAACAGCTTTGGAAGCTGATATATGTAGGTTCAATGTTCAATATATTGGCTGGAGTTCACAAAGCATCCAGTAGTCCCGTTAATTTTCCCTTTCACAGATTGGCTGAAACCACAAGAGCAGAAATAATAAGACCACAGACTTTCACTTCCACTACATCACTACCCTCCACTGCGCGCCTGAATTCAAATTAAGATATATTTGGTGTTTGAACTCATAAAATTGATAGTTATCAATGTTTGTTGAGGGACTTTCAAGTATTTGTGGATTTTAAAATATGTATCTATAGTTTGGTTTCTGTACAAATGCAACAGAGGGTTAAACAATTTTTTTCTAATAATTTAATTTTACATAACTGCTATGGCTCCCATGCTTTATGAAATATTTCATCCTATTTGATGATTGATATGATTATTACCAAGTTCTACGAGCAAATGAGGCAATTAGTTCAGTTTCTGTCCATTTGTGAAACTTGGAAATTACACCGCCTGCAGTGCGCCACAACAAAGGAAAAATAACCCAGGAAAACAGGTGATGTACTGCTTTTTACTCGCTCTCTGTGTTGACTTTGTTCCACACTCAAATCCGCTCCTGTGGCAACCGACTAACAGCAGCTAAACCAGCCGAAAGAGCTGAGATTACATTCAGGTGTTTCACCAACATCAACAACAAAGAGCTAAAATTCCCCCCCCAAACAGAACATTCACTCCATTATGGATTTAATGATTTTGGGCTTGATGTTTATTTTTTGCTCATTAGTAAGTGGTCGCCTGAACACAGCGGTGGTTAGCTGACTTAAACACCTGCTCTTCTGGTGGTCTGTCAGAGTGTAGGTGGTTAGATCACCTTATTTTAGTGCTACCTGAACTAAAACTCGCCGACCTGCACAGGTGCATGTTAAGGCTCTTAGAGTCAAGCTAGCAGAGCTAACCTCCTACTTATTATGATAGTCACGATGTTCCTGACTCAGTGCACAGGAACGGAGCATGTGTGTCACCCCAGAGTCACATGATGTCTGATCCGGTATGTCCCAAACCTTCAGAGATCACGTTGCTTCAGATGTTTCACAATCAACATGCTCGATTTAAGTTTGTAGAACTTATTTTAATGTGTTGGACTGATCTTTATTTTTAAATCAAGTGTGATGGAGCATGAAGTCTCTTTACATCATGTAGGACAGTTCACCCCAAGGACCAAGGCTGGGAACCAGTGAGAGGCGTTCACTGTTGTGGCTCATCAGTGCATAGTGGCCTCCAGGCTCCCTTATAGTGATTTAACTCAACAATCCTGATGCAAGATTCCAAAAAGGTTTTCTGATAAATGCTCAAACGGTGCTCTGAGGAGGAGAAATCTGTACTTAGTAAATTAAACATTGACTCATGTGCCATGTGGCTGGATGCTGCATGCAGTTAGACTCAGGGCAGACACTACTGTTACCGTTCATTTTTCACCTATCATCAATGCATGAGAGGTAGTTCATCACTTACCAGCAGAATAGCTGCTGCATTTCAGCTGCACTTCACAAACCTGTCAGTCGTTTTACGCGGCCGGACACTGCAGAGTAAACACACAGAAATGCACTTTGTTCAACTCCTAACGCGGACTTCAGTTTTAATTCCTCACATTAGAGAAAATGCATGAAGAAGACACCAACATTTCCGGCTTGACTTGGTATCCTTTAAACTGTGTATCCCAATGTTTCTTCATAGTGAGATTCATCCTTGGTGATGTGAAGATGAGATATAACACAAATGCAGGCTCAAGTGTTTGCATACCTTATTCTTCTAACCGTTTTCTCTCTGTTCCTTTGGCAAATTTAAAGCTCATCTTTTATGTAATAAAGAAACCGACTAAATAATGTATTTTAAAATGTGATCTCTCACAGGCTGGCCTGGACTCTTCTCCCAGTGATTTAATATTTTCTATTTCAATACACAACCTCTGCCAGTTATGTATGTTTAGTGGTTCTTCACAAAAAGTTTTTTTGAAAATTGAAAAGGCATTCATTTGAAATATGTTGCAAGTTTTCAAAAAATCCAAAGTTGTTTTTTTTTAAGAGTACTGATGGGGGAAAAAAATCATCATACATCAGTCATCTAATTTTCAGTGTGATATGAATGATTCTCCTCGCTCCTTAAACCATCAGTTGATGAGACATTCAAAAGCCCCAGGAGTCTGTACATTTATCAGTGCAAAACTACGTCTTACAGCAACGTATGCATTTATTACGATTCAACCTAATCCACATTTACAGGTCGTACCTGGCAAGAAACACTCCCAAAACACTCACAACCAGCAAAAAAACAAATTAATCTAATTCTTACAACAATAAAGAAACTTTTGTGCACTGATTATTCAACCATTCCAAGCTCTAAGAACTGTAAGACTTTTTCAAATATTTTTCAGATCATTTTCTCAACTCTTTGTGGGATTTTGGATTATCTATTGATCTCCCAGTGGACGGGGAAGGGGAGAAGGAAGGAAAAGGAGTATCTTGTACATTCAGTGACCTTGGATCTCACTTTGGTCTGGAGTATAAACAGTCCCTCCTGGGTGGCAGAAGGCTTTAGTCTCTCCTGTCCAGGGATCACACACTGGCAGCATGCTCCAGAATTACTGCGACACTAAGGCAGAGACGTGTACACTGTGAGAAAATATCTCTAACTTACAGTATAGTACCAGCAACTATTGCTGTCAGAATTTTACCGTATAAAAATGATAAAATTCTGACAACCACAGCTGCTGGTATTTTATTGTAAATTTGAGATTTATTTATTTTTTTACAGTGTAGGTATTTGTTCTTTCAGTCAGCCCTGAAAGTACAAGGCCGACTGTTCTCGACCCTGGATTGTCTCACAGATCTTCAATCATAGCTCTCTCTTTCAGTAACAGTTGTTTTGTGGCAAATTCCCCTTAATATCAGCATAGAAACCCCAGGCTCTCTCTTTCATCACTACGGCCAAGATAAAGAAACAAGTCTTGTAAACGAAGAGGCATTCTCTCCTCACAACATTAAGGGGCCCGGCCCGTCCCACAGACTGCACTTCCTTGTGGACGTCAAGGGCCCTGAAATCACTGAGTGACCCTCGCTAGTGAGGTATAAAACTCTTTCATCCAAAACATCAGTTAGAACAGGAACTAATCAAAAATGTTTATCATTATTTAGATTTATCTTAGCTACTGTCACTCCTCTGTCAGTTCACCTTGTTCTCTCTTTCTTTCATTGACTTCCATTCTTTTTTCATTTATTTCTATTTATTTCTATAGCCTAACCCCTAAACCTAACCATTACCAGTACATATCTAAACCTAAGCCTAACCTGAACTCGGTTCACGCCTCAGTACTAGACCGAACCCCTAACCCCAAAACAGCAGCTCTTCTTATTGGCAGTTTGCAGGAGCTGAGGTGTGTTTTAAGAAAAGGGTTCTTGTTCTGTATCAAACCTAAGGTTACACACACTCCTACTCCTCTCTTTTAAGTGACTTTATTACAGTTGATTGGCAGATGGAGAAATTAAAAACGAAGGCCACACTCTGCAAAAATTTTAATTATTGTTCTCATTCCTGTAAAACGAAAAGAAAAATAAAATCAATTGATGCAATCTGCACAAAATAAGACGAAATAATGGATTATAACAAATGAGGTGAATAAACGGCAACCTCAAAAACCTCCCTTTTATAAACTGTAAAAATCAGTTTTGCCTGCTTTTGTTCAATTAACTTCCCTCAAACTATTCATTTGATGCTGTTTAAAATCCCCTAAGGCTTCATGGCAATAAAGAATTCCACTTTTTTAGCTGTTGTTTCTTCGTTATGTGTGAGTGTTCACACATGTATTATTCATATATATATGTGTGTGTGTGTGTGTGTGTGTGTGTGTGTGTGTGTGTGTGTGTGTGTGTGTGCATTGTTTGTATGGGCACATGAGCTAAATGCAATGTAAGGTGAATTGGAGAATTGAGCTTTTGATGGGGAAATGTTCTTGTTAGTGTAAAAATATGCTTATTCAAATCCCTGGTGGAATTTTCTGTTTTAGCAAGGCAATCAATTTGCGGACAAGCGGGTCCGGGCTCCATGGATTCCCAATGTGAGCCGCACGGCCAGACATGTTGCAAAATGACAGTGTTTTCAATGCTTGCTGTGCAAATAACACTTTGTACTGTTCTAGAAAGTAGAAGCATAACTTCTTTTCTATCATTAGCATGCTTATGTAATACACTGTAGATTTCCTTGATTTGTTTTTCTTTTTTTCAGCATCAGCATGTCGAAAAACAAAATAACTGTAAAACAGACCAAAAAAAAAAGGAAATCAACCCAATTATTTGATTTCCAGGGTTTGTTCTACCACAGCTCATGTCATTCAGTTCAGCTTACTCTTTGAAGTCTTTTACTTTTTCTTTAATCACCTCTATCCTGTGAGTTTAGGATAGAGGAAGTGCAGTCTGTGGGACATTTGTAATGATGAAACAGTTTAGTTGAGCTCTAACTGTGATGTTTTTTCATTCTCTAACTCCTTCTTCCTGTTTCCCATCTCTTAGTGTCCGCCAACGACTGCGACTCTGGACCGAATGCCGACCTGACCTATTACACCCTGAGTCCAGATTTTATCATTTCTCCTCACGGGACCATCTTCCCAGCAGGACCTCTGGACTACGAGAGACCCAATCACCTGTATGAGTTTGTCGTCATGGCAGTTGACAAGGGAGAGGTCCCTCGGACGGGAACGACGACGGTACGAATTAGGATGGCCAACGTGAACGACGAGGCACCTGAGTTTTCCCAACATATGTGAGTAAGAGCTGAGATAAACACTTACAGTCGGTGGTGATGAGACTTACAGTTAGCAGTAGCAATATGGTTGATTCAAATTCTGAATTTTACATGCAGGTTGTTAATAGTCTAACTAAACATATTTCTTCATGGAAAAACTGAGTCAGGTTGGCTTGGTCGCCTTGCATGCACCAACCTTCTATGTTCTGTCCACTATGTTTTTCAAGGAACGAGATCAGGACTTTGTGAAGGCTGTTCAGAAACACACACTTTGTTGTCCTTAAGCCAGAGGTTCCCAAACTGTGGGGCGCGCCCTCTAGGGGGAGGGGGGCGCCGTGTCATTGCAGGGGGGGGCGCGGGAAGCCGTCTGGATGAAAAAAAAACAAAACATGAACACTGTATGCGCTGGGTTTTTACCTTAGAATGGCCAACTCTGTTATTCCTCTGTCAATTTGATACAGTAGAGGCTTCCACACTTCCCATATTTGTGTCCTCTGTCACTTTTATCAGCAGTTAAAACTGTTTAATCCGTTAACATGTTGTAACCTGTTTTTCCGAGCCACCTTTAAACGCAACATGAGCGCTACGACGCTCGCGCTGGGTTTCCACCTGTGAAGGAGACCTGCTGCTGCTGTGCGGAGCTACGTAGGTTTGTGTTAGAATCACGGCAGCAAACCAGCAAAACGCAAAGAACTTTTCACAGTTTTTCCCTCCAAACTAACCGACTGAGGTGAGTAAAGCTGCAGGTAATGTTAGCTAAAAGATGACTAGCTAATATCAATACAGAACCTTAAGCTTAACAAGGCTACCGATGTTGGTGTCTATTTTCAGCTACGTACATTCATTTTGCCCCCAAAAAAGTCGTGCCCCCCCGTCACACGGGTCGTTTCAACCAGACAGCCATTTGTAATCCATAGGGGGGGGGGCGCAGAAAATGTTTGGAAACCACTGCCTTAAGCTACGTTTTTATTTGCACCCAAGCTGTAAAGTCTTTGCCTATGTCTTGAGACATTGTTTCAATGTTTTCATAAAATGTTACTTCTTTACTACACCATATTTCAGGAAGAGTAGCAGAATGTGATGCTAACACCAGAGACTTTATAATTGGAGTGGAGTTCTGATGCTTAGACACGCTTTTCTTGATTTTTCTACAAATGTAAGGATACTGATTATGGAAAAACATATCAGTTTTAGATTTGTCATACCATTCTTTAGATATGTGGGTATTTTAGAAGTTTAGAACTGTGATGTGCTTTTCTGTTGCTTGTGGAGCAACGGATTCTTCCTGATTGAGTTGCCTTCCAGGCCATGACACTCTGAACGTGGGCTGAGTGTCAGGGACTCTGATCCTTTAGACACCAAAGGTTTTAGTTAGAATCCTTCTTATATCTATAGGTCAGATAATAACCAGGCCTGGCTTTGACTTGTGAAATTCAGCTGTTTTCTAAAAAAAAAGAAAAAAAAGAAAGAAAGAAATTAAAAAAATGGAGTTAAGTCATAACTCAGAAGGGGAAATTACAGTTTCCCGTAATGAATGAATTCATAAACTGAAGACATTTTATCAGTCGTTCTTTATCCAATTTTAAGATTTGACTGATGTTCAGAAATATTTAACAGCAGAAGAAATCTGTAAAGGATAAAATATTTTTAACACTAAATGCATTGCAGAGCTTCAGAAAACCAGAAATAGCAACTCTCCTAATGAGCTGCTAAATGTTTTGTTTTAAATCCGAATATCAAATAAATCTTTTAAAAGTAAAACAATAGTCGACATTGTTATACCTTAAAACAACTAAAACGTTTGGTTTTATATATGAGAAAATTATGGACTCTTGAAATCCTTGGAAATGCTTGAATTTCTTTTGGGTGTTTTCAAGGTAGAGAAGGTGGTTGAATTCTATATAAAGTCATAGATTAAAAGTGCTTGATATTCAGACAGCACCGTTGTATGATAAGGTGCAATCTGTTTGATTAAAAACCAAAATTTTCAAAAGGTGATTTACAGGTGAAAATAAATATTGTATATGTCTAATAAGACACAGACACATTTACTTCTCACTCATTGTTTTATGTCAGTTAGAATTACCAAAATTATTTCTATTTGCTAAATGCCATTTTTTAGAATATTTGACTTTTAACTGTAATTTTCTTTTTATATTGTGTTAAAGAATTTAATTTGAGCAGGAATGTCTTGTACCTTAATACAATTTGTTTGTATAGTTTGAATTAAATTAATTTAATGGCTCAATGACTTTTTGATCTGTTTAATTGAAATAAAGGTTGTCTCATATTTTGTGTGATATAAACTTTTTTTAATTGGGGATTGTTTTGTTAAATTAGTATTTTTGGTTTTAGATCAGTCAGGTGTATTTTACTACTTTAATCTACCTTATCACTTCTGTACAATATAGAATACTACCTCCATACATTATTAATGATGGTAATATGTAACAATGAATTGAAGCTATTTTTTTGTTCATTTGTATTATTTTTATCTCCAAAGTGTGATGCTGGAAAAGTTTGAAAGTTTCCTTTAAAATGTTTGGAAAGTGCTTCAGTATTAAGTTTATGAACCCGGAACATCCCAGCAGAAAGAGCTTGGTAGTCCTGCATATTCAGGTTGGAACTTTGCAGCTGCTTCCAAATTCAGCGTAGCAGCTTCTGTTAACGCCCCCCCTCCGTCCCTCCCCGGCCCCTCTTGCTGCTGTGGTGCCTGCATCTTTTAATTGGTTGATTTTCTGGCAGAGAGCTGGGCAGATTGGTGAGGCAGGGTCAATCAACCATGCCCACTAGCACCCTCAGGAGGTCCTGAGCCCAAACGTTATGTGCATGGAAGTGCATTCTATAATTGAGGGAGTCCAAGGGAAATACGGTCTGGATATGGAAAAGTGATGTCGTTTGTGAAGTGCATTTATATGCAATGCATCTGATATGAATGTGGGAAGATGCGTGTGTGTTTGTGCATACGTTTGAGTGTGTTCAAGCAGGAAGGTATTGATTTAATGACAGTGACAACAGAATAATCAGTTTTTCCCTCCCTGACCCTCAGTCTTCTGGCACAACTGACCCAGAAATCCTATTTGACAATACACACACACACACACACACACACACGCACGCACGCACGCACACACCCACACACACACCAATTTATACTTATTCAGGGAGCCTCACATTTGCTTTCTTCTGTATGTTCATTTAAATGCATCCATGACGCCGTGATGCCTTTGATGAACTCTTCCTCAAGCTCGGGACAATGGCTATGATGAAAAGACAGGAAATTAGAGCAAAAGATAGAAGGCTCATTAAATATGTCATTATCCAGGCAGAAAATGTGGCCTGTTGTTATCGATCTGTGGAGTTGGAAGCGTTCAGTAATGAGTACCCGTGTGTGTGTGTGTGTGTGTGTGTGTGTGTTTTGCCAGGTCAAGAGGGAAGTTTGTCTAAGCAATCAAGTTTTTCTGCATTATTTTTTTTTCTCCTGCTGTTTTAATTGTTTACAACTCAGATCTTTGTTGTTGATTATTGTATTTTTGCCAAGGGTTGATATTGTCAATAAGAGTATCACAATATTGCATTTTTTTCTGACACTTAACTGTTGATGATCTAAAATAAATTCAATAATTACCAAACTAGTTATTGTAAATTACCTAATGAACTCCTTTTCTCTCTGTAATATTTACTGTTGCCTCTTAAATATACTCAAGAAAAAGCAGTGAAGATAATTATGTTAAAAGGAAATGCTCACAATTTTAGGAGTAAGTACATTTATTCATATAAATTTCTATTTGAAGTATAAATGGTTGATGCTGACGTTAGTGTTGCTGCTGCTACATGTTTAGCATTGAGATTCTATTTCAGGCTGGAATAGTTTTGCCAATAGACTAAGTTCCTTTAGCACAACTTGAACACAGCATTAGTCTTTTTCAGCATTCAGTCAGATTGCAATTCTGTAAATGTTGAATTTAACGGTACGGAGCATGAAGGGACAGAACTTAAAGAGCTTTTGGTTTGGAACTGAGCAGAAAGGAGAAAGGATGTTTGGCAGCGTTGTGAACTTTAGTCCCTTTGCCATTTGTTTATGCCATCAAAATATCATTTGAGTTATATAATCTATTGAACACCTTTACAAATACCTTCTATCTGAGATAATAACAGATACTTAAGAAAAACTGTCTGTGGCTGACTGTTTGCTTTGACACTCCCTGGACAAATCGCCTCACTATAGAGAGATGTCCATGTGATCAGGCCAAACTTGTCATCCTGAGTACAAAAGCAGTCTTTTCTTTCATTTTCTTCAGTTTTCTGAGGTTGTGGCTTAGATCCTGATATCACAGTAGACGGCTTACAGAGAAAATTGCTCTCTCCATGACAGATCTAAAGAAGACAGGCAACATCTGCAACAATCCTCAGGTCATCCCAGGTTTTATCTGGACCACTTTTCTTGGACTCGATATTCGTCCTCACCAGTAGCACAGCATGCATGCCCATGTGGTGTCTGCACTGAAATACTGGCTATCGACTGTACTGATTGACCAACTGAATATGTATAGTGCTGGACTGTCATGAGTCAAGTTTATTTGTATTGCATATTTGAGCAACAAAGCAGTTCAAAATGCTTTACGTCATAAAAACATCATACAGTAAGCAAATACGAAACAAACGCATTTTGTCAAAAGCCCTCATCAAAATCATGAAGAATATTCACCATCAAATATGCATTATATATGTCAATCAGTGTTTTAGTTATTATGAATCAAAGGCAGGTTGTAAAATGAACTGTCTTTCAGCTGTTTTGCAGTTTTCTGGACTTTTTGTTTCTTTTAGCACTTAGCTCTAATTAGACCATCTGTTGTTAGCCAGTGTTACATTCTTTTTTCCATGACTGTGTCTGAGTTCTACATACAATTCCAGAACTATTATGAATACCTGAGAATTCCAAGTTGCAGCTGTCCTTGAAGAAAAAGTTAGGTAAAAATATGAAATATTATTTTAGAAAACTTTGTATCCTGAGGTAA